TAGAAGCTCTACCAACAATGTGTGAGATGGCGTTGGAGAAAAACAATGTGTTATCTGTTCTAAAAATAGCGAAACACAAGGAAGTCTATAAACACGGCATACAATTCTCTAAATTCTGCGATTGTGGTCTCCGATTTTGTGTCTCTCTTTTATGTTTGGCAGCCTGAGACAGAAGCCTGAAAAGTTAAGAAATTAAGAAAGAAGAATAAACAAAAAAATAAGAAATCGAATACATGACTAAAACACGGCAAAGCAACTACAAAAATTTAAATCTCAAAGTTGTATTATTTAACATAGCCAATCATATTTATTAAACATACGAGACATTGAGTTTAGGCTTAATTGTCCCTATATTCAAATCACGATCAAAATCCAATCCGCTAATAAATTACAGTTGCTTAGAAAAATTATTTACAAAATTACTTAAAATAAAATTATCTCTGAAAAAATAAGCCATAATTTGGTTTCAGGAAACCTGAAAACAATAAATAAAATTATCTATGTTATCTAAGGAAACAATGAAAGATATCGGAGATATTAAAAAAATCATTCGACATGTTAACGTTGTAAAAACCATGAATCAATCAGTTGTTTAAGATTGGCACTCATAATAATAATAATAGTAGTGTCCTTTTGCCTGAAATATCATGTAAATGGACGCCCGCGGTGGCGACAATCTCTCGTATAAAAAGAAACGTAGCTAGGGGGTCTACTATACAACGTGGAATACTTGAGGTGTTCACACACACACACACATCACTTCGCTGAAATATGGCAGCGAGTATATTGGACAGCAACGGTACGAAAGAAAACAACAGCGGATCTCATTATGAAGGAGCTGAAAAATTGTTAGAGGTATGGTGGAAGGCGTCTACACACCCTAAGGCTAATTTAAGGAACATACCGAGGTGAGTTTACCGCTGTTCGCTCGTTCAATCCAATGCCAACGTCAACGAGCATGCACATACCGGCCCAGCAAAATCGCTCTGCACTTACCGGCCCAGCAAAATCGCTCTGAAGCAAGAGTGCGTAAAGCTATAGTACAACCATTATGTTGATTTCACAATTCATTCAAGACCAAATTGTCTTATTTTGTCAATTTTCAGTTATTATTCTGGACTGTAGCGAAGCATTAATTTAAAGGTTGGCATCTTCACACCTCGGCATGTTGTGATCAGTTCACGTAGCAGCTGTCACTCGTGTACAGTAAAACCCGACGGTACATACCTCGTTGAGTGGTCTATCCATGGAGGTAAAAATAGAATCTAGTTTTTGTCACAGCTGCCCGTGATTTAATTTGTTTGGTTCTCGGCGTCAATTGTAAACATAGACCACATTCATACGCATTCATAGCCCAGTCTGTGTCAATCAGTAACTGTGTTTTGAACGTGTTTGGAGCATGTTTTTTTCTTCTTCTTTATTTGTTTTGTTATGTGTGATCATTTTTATCAGAAAGACTTTCCAATGTACCCCACCCCTTATTCTAACTCAAAACCTAACCCTCCAGCCCCAATTCTGTTGTATATCATGCCCCTTTAGATAACTATATGTGACGTATACAATTATTCTATGTCACTTATGACCACTACGTAACCTGATGTCCATTGTGTTTTAACAGGAGCAAACTTGAACGACTTTTACAGAAAGTAAAATGTGAAATAATCAGTCAAATGAAAACCGTAGACCAGGATGCATATGTATTAAGGTAATAAAATGTTGTATTCCTATTTATTGTGTTCATACAGTTTATATTCATTTATTGACTCTTACGCAATCCCCGGAGGAAAAGGAAATGGTCACAATGTACAAGAAAAAAATAAAAGACAATATGCTAAATAACAAAATACAATCACTAAATTGCTAAATAATACAAAATCACTAAATAATATAAGATTACCAAAACATAAACATAGTTTATTGAAACACTTAAAATTCCTCAGAAGGAATTAAAATGGTTACACTAACTGCTAAAATACATATATAAAACATACAAATTTTACAAAAATTACTATCTAAAGCACAACAATGGTAGCTGTATTAGATGGAAGCAAGTTGTATTCCTATTTAGTATGACTGTTAGAAAACCTCTCACTGAGAAATTGTATCCAACAAAAATGAAATCCAATTGTGAAGTCTCCCCTAAACCATGGAGCTAAATCACTCCTGCCTAAACTAAAGCAAATCTTACAAACACATATTTGTTTGAGTGATTATGACAATCATTTTTTTTAAAGGTGAAGTCAAGTCAAACAACATAATGCTCCCCAAGGAAAGAACTCCACAAATGTAGGAGAATGCAATTTACAGTTTTTGTATATCACTTTTCTTTCTTATAGTGGGCTACAGAATACTGGTGAAAAGTTGAATATCTAGAGAATGAAAAGTGATAAAAATAAATTTAGCCACTAAATTACATTAGTCTGGATAGTATTATTACATGTTTACTATATGATTATTTTTAATCAAATACCCTGAGCTACTAGAGACCATTATCATCTGCCAGAAGTTGTATTTTTCCAAAGTTTTTCCTGCTTGAATTGACTCACATAAACAAATCAGTTGTCGTAAAAGATTTTTGGTTTGTGATGATGCTAGAAAACATGCATGATTCAAATAAATGTATCGGAAATTCAAGAATGTAAAGTCATGATTGTTATACAACAATGAACTTCAGTTAATTTATGTCTTTATTTTATTTAGTATTCTTTCTGTGATTAATCTGATTTGATCACTGACACTTTAATTAGATCAATTTTCAATTCTACTAACTCCTCAGTTTTGAACAAATTTGACAATTTAAGAGTAATTTACCGATAATTATGGCATGTATTGAGTATATGTGCAATGCTTTGTGTATTTTTGTAAAAGAAATTTCAGACAACCCCCGCCCCTTCCCCCTCCAATACCTTAATGACAT